ATATATATATATATATATATATATATATATATATATATATATATATATATATATATATATATTGTGATGTCCTTGGATCTATGCAATGGGAATCAGATCATGATGAGATCACGATAATGAGACTAATTCACCTTTAAACACAAATCCTAAATAATCCCGGTCATAGGTTACTCGAGAGGGACATCGAGATAACCGGACATACTAGTGTATTATATACCCATTCATATGATGGATGTAGCTAGTCTCATAGTTGCTCGTGTGGAGACACTAGGGATACAATACAGGTGCTTATTGGGGAATTAGTTCACTAATTGATCCGCTTACGGAATGCTAAATGATTGATGATACATTATTATCAGACAATGATTTCGTAGTCTCAGTAGTATATCTGGTCCTTAGACATGAGATACCAAGGATGTCCTGTATGAGTGCTCCACTCTTTGATACCGGACTTATAGGTTTGGATATCGCGGATCTAACACAATTGGTCATCGGGAGTGGTAGTCAACCTTAGGAGAGCTATTGAGTGTCGATAGAGGATCATCCATTCTTGGTGTTATGAGAGGAATGTCTCATGTGTTATTGCTCAAACAAATCCCAAGCCAGGGTCATTCGGATTGAGAGAGAAAGAGTTCTTCGGGAGAATCTGATTAGAGCGAGACTCGAGTAGAAACCATATGGGTCTGATAGCACCATGCCCAATATACGGTCTCTGGAATATTAGATGGATGAGGGACTATAGGTGCACAGTAACTAAGGATAGATAGGTCCAATAGATTGGATTCCCCTGTATTATCTGGGAACTACGGGGTAGTGGCCTAGTACAATTGATGCGAAATTTGAAGCATTAGAATCTCGGATTGAATCGCGACTTGAATCGCACTTAGAGGACAAATTACGTGCTTTGTTTGTAGAATTCAAAATTGGACAACTGCTGAGTCCAACCAAATTTGAACGAGGAGAGAGTTCAGAGAGGCCTCCATAGAAGGAGGGACAGCCCTCGGATATGCTTCAACCACGCAAGATGTAATATCCCTCACTTTTGAAACTTATTAATAAAGATTTATTTATAAATCGGAGGACCTATACGTAAATATGGAAATTTCAAGGACTAAACTGTTAAGTTGTAAAAAGAAGAAAATAAAGAAAACCGAAAACTTCGGTTTTATCCCACCGCCTCCCACGCACTCTCTGTTTCTTCGAGAAACAGAGAGAAGCGGTGGGGCGTGGGGAGAAGAAGAAGAGAAGTAGAGGGAGAAGAGGAGAAGAGGGAAAAGAAGAGA